CTAATAAATGAAAAGGCTTTGTAATTGTAATTCATCTATTTTATATTTAAATGCATAGTCTTTTAAACAAGTTAAATTATAACTTTAAATACAAATATTTTAATTTATACATACAGAATATATATAAAAATTTAAAAAATTGATCATTAGATAAATCTTTTTTTGTTTCTAAAATATATGTATTGCATATCTTTTATGAACTAATTATTTTTAAATTTGATTGAATTGTATAATTGATATTAGTTAGGGTTATTAGAGTTTTAATGATTTATCATCAGTATAAAACCAATAATTTTCAAGTATATTAAGTATTTGAAAAATAAATTCTTTTGAATTGTGATGTTTATTTGTCACCTCTGTTTATATGACAAATAATATAGATAATTATATCAGCCAATCAGAACTAAAGTTAATGATCATTATTATCATATAACCAAATATTTTAAAAAATATAAAATATACAATAATTAACACTGATTAAAATGATAAAATTCAACCAACAATCAGATATCCAAATTGTATCTGAATTTTAACAAAATTGTGTTCGAATTATAGCTAAATTGTAATAAATTTAATCTAATTCTTATTGGCACATTTCAGTGACAATTAAAACAATTCAGATATAACAATTTGAATACAATTTGATAAAATTTGACCTAAGAATCAAACCTAAAATCAACCTAAATTCAGCCACAATTCAGATATAATTCAGCTAAAAATCAACCAAATTCAACCACTTAAAATTAATCTAAATTTAATCATAATTGAAAGATATTTCAGTCTAAATCAACTTAAAACCAACTATTAATTAGTCTAAAATCAGTCTAAGTAAATCAGAACTAATAATAACAAATTTAAATTTAAATTTTTATTATTTTTACATTATTGTTATATTTAAATTCCTTAAAAGAAATATATATTTTATTTTAAAAAAGCTAAAAAAAATAAAGTAAAATAAAAAAATAAAAATTTCACCTAAAATCACCTTTGATTAACTTATGATAGTGATAATCTTGACTTGACTTATTTAACTCATAAGTCAATTTAATCATTCAGAACTCTTATTACATTTATAGCTTTCCTAAAGCTACACTTTAATATTCCTAATATACCAAGTGTATTGGTATGAAATTTTTATATGATAGGTATCAAATTTGTAATCCAAAGATATCAATCAATAAGATTTTGATGATTAATTTGATACTAATAAGTAGTGATAAAATATTTTTAGTTATGTTTAAAAATTAGTCTCATTGGTCATATAAAACTTGATTAAGAAAAAGTTTGAATTTCTTAAATAATTATTTAATTAAAAATAAGAAATAATAAATTTTTTCTTTATAATTAATATTAATTATTTCTGTATATTATATATTATTTAAATACACTTTGTTTTTTTAATTGAAATGCAATTTTTTATAGCTGTTTATAAATAATTTACAAGCTTATGAAAAATTATATGTTTTGCAATAAAAAAAATGGATACTACTCTGAAAATAAAAAATAAAATTTAGTCAGATTTGAATAAGTTTAGTATAAACTACATTTTTCAATTATAAATGAAGATCGATTTATATAGTAAAAAATAAGATATGCTAATTTAAAAATGTTATGCTAAAAATGATTATATTTAAAAATTATACAAGTCAATCTCATTTATTAATTAAAGAATTATTATTTAAAAATAAACTTTATTTCTTTACAATAGAAAGAGTGGTAACTTTAATTCTTATTTTAAGGAAAAATAAAATATAAAAAAAAGAAAAACTATTATTTTTTTTGAATACTTCTTGTATGTTGAAATATAATTTTATATATATACTGTATATTTTTTTCTCATATTATAGGAATGATAAAAGAATCATTCTAATAAAATAATATAAGATTATTTTAAAGAAATGATAAAAAAATTTGTTCTGATTTACAATAAAATATCATTTTAAAAAAATAATAAAAAAAGTCATTCCAATAGAATAATAGAGATTGTTTTAAAGGATTAATAAAAAAAATATTCTAATAGAATGATAAAACATTATTCTAAAAAAATAATAAAAAGTATTATTCTAATAAAATGATAAAATATTATTCTAAATCATCATTCTAAAGGAATGATAAAATCAGAATAACTATTTTATCATTTCTTTAGAATGATATTTTATTACTTTATCAAAATAATTTTTTCTATCATTCCTTTAGAATAATGTTTTATAATTCTTTCAGAATGATTATTTTTATTTTTTCTTTAGAAAGATTTTTTATTATTAAATCAGAATGATTATTTTAATCATTTCTTTATAATAATATTTATCATTTTATCAGAGTGATTTTTTTTATTATTTTTTAAAATGATAGTTTTTATCTTTTCTTTAGAATGATCTTTACCATTCTATTAGAATGACTTTTTTATTATTTATTTAGAATAATGTTTTATCATTTTATCAGAATGATTTTTTTAATCATTTCTTTAAAACAATATTTATTATTTCTTTAGAACAATGTTTTATTGTTCTTTTTTGTTATCATTTCTTTAGAATGATTCTTTTATCATTCTTTTAAAATTCTATTTACAAAAATAACATTAAATTTAAATAGATAATATTAATAGGAAAAATCAGCGAATTTATTTTTAGTTCTGATCTATTTTTATTGCTGCAGATTGTCGATCTATTTACATTGATCAAACACTCAAAATTATTCGAGTTATAGCTCTTTCTATTGCAAAGCGCCCATATGACTTATTGATTAACAGAAAAATACTTAAAATTCTTAAAGGTAATATTTAAATTTATTAACGCAGATTAATATATAGGTTGGAACTGGTTATTTTTAACTTGTTAATTAACCGGTTAAGACGGTATCTTGTTAACTGGTTAAATATTATTTTTAACCGGTTAAAATATTTAATATTAACTCTAGCCAAAATTTAATTTTCGGGCAGAATTAAATTTTTTTGTGATTACAAAATTTCGCTAGTTTAGCCCAAATTTATAATGCCAGCCTGAGTGAAATTTAACCGGTTAATTAACCAGTTAAAGATTTTTGGGCCGTTACAATTTCCCTAAATCAGCAAAATACATGACGAACTGTACTATAGACATTACAATTAGGCAAATAGTGAAAATTTTCTCTCAACCAAATCTCTTCGTTTAATTAAGATCACCCCTATTCTTAATATATCAAATAAATTCATTATGCATGAATAAAATTTTCTGAACTCATATATTGTAATATTTTATTTCTTTAATTAACCACCTTTTTTTTAGTACAGTACATTAAAATTCGTTTCTTGAAATACATTATATTATTATATAATTACTTTTGGTGATTTCTCAATTCAAAATTTGATCTATCCAAACTTGATTTTATCATATTGATTACTATATTTGCAAATGAAATTGAATCAATTATATAGCATAAGTCAAATTTAGCTACTTTATTTTAACCAAAACACTTTGGCAATAATACGAAGAGTTCCAAGCTAATTAATCAATATTTAGAAATGGCAATAATAATTATAATTATGTTACGAATGCAAACTCTAGACCACTTAGCAATGAATTCTTGTTCTTTAAATATGTAGTTCTCTCGACAGCTTCTTAAATTTACCATTTTTCAGAAAGAGAAAAGTGACATGAATCGCAGTGTTTTGAGAGAATTTTAACTTTTAAAAGAAATTTAGGTTTAAATTTTCCTTGATAACCAAAAAATGCTGTGTGCAATTTTGTATACAATGTTAGCCGGAGGGCTGGAAATAAAACTTAGATGATATAATTCAGTCCTTCGAATTAATCACAATAACTTTATCACAATCACGCCTGTATGAAGACACGGAAAAAGGTAATAGTAAATGAATAACAAATATCTTTATTGAACTCTTGGTTTATTCACAAAACCCTATCTCGAGTTATCTTTCAACTCAAGGGAAAATACATGCTATTTATATAAGATAAACTAATAGTAATATTATAAGATAAATATGTTCAATATAATATATATGATAAATGTAATAAATAATATATAATTAATAAATATAACAAATATGACTAATATAACAAATATGATAAATATGATAAATATGGTAGATCGGTCAAATATGATCAATTGGTCATATTTGTCAACTAAGTCAAATAATAATGTTAATTTTGCAGCTAACAACAAAAAGGTGACTTGAATGAAATAATCCTAGCAACTAAAGTTTCCAATTTTTTTTCCATATAATCCTTACAAATTTTCCATAATATAGGTTAACTAGAAGATGGTATTACAAACTTATTAATTCTTTATAAATTTTTTTATTGGATTTGGAAAACTGTGAATTTTTTTTAAATCATAGGAACGTTATCTTACGCGATTTCTACTGGTAATATTCCATATGTTAATTCTTTTGGGACATATTGAAAATTACTGTAACCAATAAATAAGGAATACTTTAACCATGGCTTGTACTGAATGAATAATACATATTCCGAATACCATTTCCTCGACGCCGGGAAGATTTACAATTTATAACAAGTAAGAAATTCGTAGTATTCTAATAAATTAACTATCTTTAAGTATTTTATGGTCTTAATAAGAATGACAACTTCCGAATTACGTATATTTTAGAATTAAATATTTTTTAATCATGGGCAAAAAGCACCATATGCTGTAAACGTATAGAAAGAAATAGCATCAAATAAAGGCGAATACGCTCAAATGAAAGATTAGATGGTACATATTTATGATGAGTTATTCATATTTTACTCATCACAAGAAAAGCATTGTGTAACTATCCCTAGTTACAAACAAATCCCGAGCTTCGAAAAAACTGTTTTATATTTCACAGAGCCGTATGATGATGTTGTGTAACCTAATTAATAATTAGCGGCTAAGCCTATAAAGGTTTATCATTTGGTATTATTTTCATTTAAAAGGCGTATTTTTTCTCCTTTTAATGAATATTTCGGAGCATTTGTTTTTTCAAACTTTGTTCATAAAAATTTCTTTTTGAAAAAAAAATTATGGTCAAAAATTGTATATGTTGCGGTGAGTCCTACACGAAATTCCCAAACGAAAGTAGTCGACGCGAATTTCAGGAAATAACTGGAATTTGCGCTTGTTGCTGGGAAATAACCATGCTTGAACCTGATGCCGTCGAAGAGAAAATCGAGCATGCAAATAAAGTGCTACTCTTTTACAACCGCAAGTTCATTATGAACAAACATCGACCTCACGCTTGGCAATGTCTTAAATGTGAACAACACATCAAGGGCGAACAAATTCAGAGTCCACACATATGCGTAGTTAAGAGGATATGCAAGTTATGCACGAAGCCATCCGACTCCGGAGGCGGGATATGTCAAAAGTGTAAATCAGCGTTTTATTGTAGCAAAGAATGTCAGAAGGAGGACTGGCCAAGGCACAAAAAAGAGGACTGTGTAAATTAATGCTAACAACATTCGAGAATATTTTTAAGTTTCAACACCAATTTGTTTGATTTATTGTTATTCAAATTCTATATTTGTATTTGTAACTTTATTTCTCATTTGTACATTGTGCTAAGATATGTCGTGAATGGAGGATAATACTTCAGTTGCAAATAACATTTCTTAGGCAATTATAAACATATTATGAGTTATTATCCTATTTATTATGATATAATTTTTATTCTTTTTGTTATCACTACACTAACATAGTTAAAGTATTTTTTAATAATGCCAGTAAACTTGGAGATTTTTGATGATTCGAATTTATTATTGAATGTTTCAGAAGTGCGAGACTTTTAATGATCCAAATAGTATTTAGATAAATGTTATTGAAAAGTTAACTTCTTTTTCTCTGTGGTTTTGTTCGGAAGATTTTTATATTTAAAAAGTATAAGTTATCATTTGGCTTGTTAAATATTATTCTAAACTTCACATATAAATTAATTTTGTATATTCAAATCTTTTTAACTGAATGGCATTTTTTGAAATTTAAGTAAAAAAATTGGAATTCCAATAGATTAAGATATAAAGTAATCCGAACATATGTGAGGATTTATATTAAATTATGATTGGATCATATGATTTATTTATGTCTCATAACTTGATTTTAATAAATGGCAACGAACCATATAATCAGTAACTTTCAAGTTCCTAGGTAAGAAATGTCTCAATAAGATTCTAATGAACTTAGTATTTACTAGTAAAAAATGATTCTGAAATTGCATGCTATTGAAGAACAAAAACTATAATCTTCATACTTTGAAATTGTAACGCTAAAACAATTTTTTATTTTAGCGATAGTTTAATAATTATCTACGGTATCCATCAAAGTATTTATATATATTAAGAGTTTTTTTTTTAATTTTCTATATGAATAATACCATAAATACAAAATTTAATAGTAAATAAAATCCTATTTTTTTTTGTTTTTTTTTTTTTAAAAAAAAAAAAAAAAAGAAGTAAATAATATACAGTAAATATAATTTCAATCCCATCAAATATTAAATTCTAATTCACGAGAAATGTATTCTAAAGAAATTTATAAACAAACTTGATTAGATTAAACAAATATATTAAAAGGTTTTAGACATAATTTACTTACTTTCATTGGAATCGTTCAAATTCATAATGATGTCAAAGTCATATTCTTTTGATACATACTCTAAAAATTAAAAATAAAACTCATTAAAATAAATATGAATTATCAAAAAAGGAATTATCAAAAAAATGATTAATATATAACGAGAAAATTTACCATTATTTTTATGTTCGGAATATTTATTCCTTTTAACAATTTTATCATCAAACAAATTATCAAATTTTCTTTTATCTGTAAGTTTATATTCTTTGTTAATATTTATGTATAATTACAAATAAGATTTTTATGAATACCCACCACTATTGTTTTCTTGGTAAACATAACATGCATCTAAATAATTATTGAGGATTAACTTGTTGTTTATTTTTTTTTAATAATAAAAAATTAGTTCATACCTAATTCAGAGATAACAGATTGAGACTTTAAACTTATCGTAGTCATTGATGATATTATCATGTTGCTCAATGACCTACTTTCATAAAAAGTTTGATTGTTTGTTGTTATGGGCCCAATATTACCGGATTTTGTAATGTAAGTTGGATTTTCACTTTCATTATTAATGATTTTTAAAAGGATTTTATATGTTTCGGCAGCTGATGGTCTTTTATTCGGATCTCCGTTCCAACATTGCTGCATTAATTCAATATAATCCTCAGGTGCATTTGTGACAATTGGAGGACGAAAACCATCACAGATTTCGATAATAAGTTCAGTATCATGATATCGATCCCAAAAAGGCATCCTACCAGTCATTAGTTCCCACATAATCATTCCAAAGCTATATATGTCTGAAGCTGTGGTAAATTTATTTCCTTGAAAAACCTCTGGAGCGATATGAGTCAGAATTCCATAAATTTCCCCACCATTATTATCTGCTGATTCATTTATAGATCTACTTATTCCTAAATCACTTATTACCGCGAAGGAACCAGCATTAAGGATATTTCCACTGTGGAAATCACGAATGATAATATTTTTATTATGAATGCTATCAAGCCCGCGTATGATATCACGTAATATACTCAGCTTGTTCCGCCAATCAATATTATAAAAATCATTTCTTATATAGCGATGTAAATCACCCGATTCATAATAATTCATAATTAGCATGAAATCATTAGTGATAGGATCTTGGGTAATTCCATAGTAATCAATTATGAAATAATTATCATAGTCATTGAGTTCCTTTTTTACACCGTTCTTCCTTTTCCAATTCAAAGAAAAATCATAGAATATCTTGAGCTTTTAAAAAAAAGGGAAAGACCACATTTAGGAAAATTGTTGCAGAATATTGCTATTAAGAACACGAAAAAAAACAGATTTACCTCATTTAATTCCTTAGAAGTGATATCTTTAGAATTATTAAGCTTTTTAAGAGCAACAGTCGTAAGACCATTCCGTTTATACTTTAGTTGTTTCTTATCCCAATAACGAATAAAACCATCCGTCCAAGTAGCTTTGTAAATTTTACTAGAACCACCTTCAGCAATAAATTCTTTATTTTCGAATCGATCATGAGAAACAAATTCCATTATTCCGAATTGTTTGTAATGGTTGACTTGTGTATATCTGATAAAATCATCCACGAATTTGTTTCCACTCGAATTGTCTATTGTTTTCGCTTTATAACATACTTTGCAAATCTGATGACTCTCTTTAATTGATTTTCTCCATTGATGACAATCATTGCATTTGTTCAAGTATTTTCGCTTATATTTTCTGTCCAACGATTTCTTTTTTTGCATGATGATTGTTAAATATCTTTTTTTTAAAAAAAAAGTTTCTGAAATATGAAAAAAATATTCGTATTTTTATACAAATTACGTTATTATAATGTCGTCAGGGAAATAATAAAAGAATTTCCTTTTCGCAAATGGAAGTTTCTTAAGAAATGATCGGCAAGAAATTACTACTGTAACCTAATAGAATTCTATAATGACGTTCTTAAGAAATTTTTCGGTGTTCGGGTATTGTAAAGTTTCTAATTTTGAATGTTGTAGAACATTCATTATTAACATGCATTATCATTTTTTTCTTATCATGGACCAAGCAACGGTTTTTAATTTAATTTTTTATATTCGAATTATAGTCGTTACAACAGGTTTTCATGCAATTCTTTTATCCTTGAAGTCAGCCACCTGCCTACAAATGGAATCCACATCACATAGCGAGATGAAGAAAATACAAGGGAATATTCGGTGGATTGACGAGAAATCTATAATTTTTAAAAGTTTAAAATGGGTGATAAATCTTTGAAATTATATTTCTTTTAACAAAGCTAATCACATGATCAGTTATTAATGCATGGTATGTAAATAAATTCAATGCGTTGTTATCTGGTAGTGTTTGTTTAACTTTAAATTATTAAGTTTTTACGATTAATTATAATTGGCATGCCGATCTATGACGCCAAAGTTTGAAGTTAGACATAATATTTAAAAACTTAAAATTTGCGAACATAGGAATTTAAAAATAAGTTTTCATTCTTCATTAACAAAGAAAATTTCGTACAAGTAGCCTCGTTCAAGCAAATAAGTAATTTTTTTCCATTTTACCTCTACCCACCCTGCTAGTTACAATAGTTATGTTGAGCGATTACAAATAAATCCACGCAATGTGATTGCCACGTACATTTAGATTTCCTGTAAAAACAAGGTAATATAATACAATGACCATTGACTGATTATTCCGGCAAAGACGTGAATCTATTCTAAAAATTTCACACGTTTTAAATCGAATTTCTTACAATACATTGGTCATGATTTGTCAAAGATTTTACAAGAACTATACAAAACTAATATCATTTATAAACAATGTCAAGTTGATAAAAAAATTCAGTTACGTTATAAACTTCGATAGAAATTTTTCGAAGAATAATATCTTTATCAGGAAGGGAATAGTTAATAACTGATTTCTCTCTAAGGAAAAAAATTAATTTATTAAATGATTAGTTTGTTCTCTCCTCAACCCACTATGAATTGATTAGCAAAGGAGTACATTTGCATAACTAAACGACCAACCCAGAAAAAAAGCTTTCTTGATGTGCACATAAAGCCTACAAGGATTGCTTCTCAGAATAATAGAACAAGAAAAAAAATATTAAGAAACAAACGTATGTAATTTTTCTCGACCATTCTATTCGAGATTAACAATATATAATTAAACATCAATTAAATATTTTGTTATGACGCAGGTTAACAAGTCGCAAAACTAATGTTACAGAAATTAATAATGATCCATAGATTTATTAGTACTGGCAACATGTCATCCGCCGTGGACAAAAAGGCTCAGTCATTGTTGGTTCTTAAGTATAAAAGAGGTGGGATCTCGCACGAGTAAATTCCTAGAAAGTAGAAAGTAGGTAATTTAGTTAGTTTTTCCTATTATTGTAAACAATAACGAATAATTAATAAAATTAACGCATCTGATCGTATAAAGCGAGGCAATACTACTGTATATTTGCGTTGTAAATTCCGTCGTTGTTAATAAAAAATTAGTTTACAATTAAACCTTCTGCTTACATTTTTTTCCTGTTTATAACCAATAAACGTCTCGAACTGCGTGCAACACTAATATTTTAAATCGTGGTAAATTTGTTAATCAAATCGTTCTAGTCATAAGGAACTTTAGCGAATTTTTGAATGCAATTTTAGAATTGTATTAATTATTAATCATTATGAAGATTTGGTTTGGGCATATATGCTATAGTTTAATATACAAAGGGTGAAATTAAACTTAATATTTTTTAAGTATCAGTTTTATTTACATAAATATATTCAGATATTTAATTATTTATTGACCTTCTTCTCTTGCATAAATAACTCCTGAATTTGAAAAAATAAAAAAGATTTATTTTTCTTCAATAATTAATTATATTAATTAGGTTCTCATTTTCAAAATCCTGACTAAGTTAATAATTGTCCATAAATTAAAGTAGGGACTTTAGGTATCTTAATGGAAAATAAATCGGAATTCATTCCAAATTAACTACATTTTGATTAGAAAGTTAGTATGGATTATCTTGTTTTTATGAAAAATAATTAATTACGGATTTCGGAAAATTATTCACCTCCCTGTAAGTACGTGTCGTTAGATGTTTAATCAATTCAAAATATCAAAATAATTAATCAATAAACGAATTTTTATCTATCATATTTAAACTTCTATAAAATTTAATGATAAATCGTAAGAAAGGTCGGAAGACAATATTTTTGTAAGAAAATAAAATAATTATAATAAATGAGATTCATTAATATATTTTTACATATTTACATAACCAAAAATACTTTCGACGAAAAAAAAAACTTTGTAATGACAGTTTTTGTCCTTCCGTATTAATTTAGAGGTGTATTTTTTTTTTCCCTATGAAAGTCCTTAAAGGAACTTTACTATTGTCATTGGTAATATTTTTTGATTTTAACTTTATTAAAATAACTTTGATTTATTTTAGCAATTTATAAGATTATAATCAAATTTATATAAGTAGAATATTTATTAAAAAAAAAATAATAATTAGTATTTTTACAATAGAAAGCATGTCAATAAATTAAGAGGCTCTACTTATTTGACCATAGGAACAGTGAGAGATTTAGGGTAAAACAATACTAAAGATTTAGGTAAATTTGGTAAACTAGTTATCCGAGAATTTTCACAGTGGAGAGTTGCTAAGGAATTAGGTAAAAGTGGTAAACTAGTTATTGAAGAATCAGAACAGTCAAGATAAATTAAAGAATTAGGTAAAGTAGGTATACTAGTAATTTGAGTATTATAGCAGCAAAGAGTTGTTAACGAATTTGGCAAGGTTGGCAAATTAGTTATTTGTGTATTAAAACAGATAAGATAAGTCAAGAAGTTGGGTAAAGAAGGTAAGTTAATTATTGGTGTATTGGAACAGTCAAGATGAGTTAAGGAATTAGGTAAAGTTGGCAAACTAGTTAATTGAGTATCAGAACAATGAAGAGTAGTTAACGAACTAGGTAATGTTGATAAACTAATTATGCGAGTACAAAAGCAATAGATTTCTTTTAAAGAGCTAGGTAAATTTGGCAAACTATCTATTTCAGTATTATTGCAGTAGAGATAAGCTAATGAGTTGGGTAAATTTGGTAAACTAGAAATTTGGGTATTGAAACATCCAAGATACGTTAAAGAGCTTGATAAAGTTGGTAAACTAGTTAACTGAGTTTTATTGCAATTTAGTTTCATTAAAGAGTTTGGTAAAGTTGGTAAGCTGATTATTGGAGTATGTGAGCAATCAAGAGTCTTTAAGGAGTTAGGTAAGGTTGGCAAACGAGTCATTTGAGTATCGGTACATTCGAGAAATGTTAACGAGTTTGGTAAAGTTGGTAAACTAGTTATTCCCGTATTGTCACAGTAGATTGTTGTTAATTTTCGATATCTTTGTAATCCCCCTAAGGTGTTTAAAATGTCATCCTTATTTAACTTTGTGATAATCAAACTATTAATGGTATAATCATAATTAATGTCTGATTCTAAATTTCGGATCCTTTCTTCTAATTCTTTGATCTTTTCTTGCTCTTGCTTAACATTGGATGATTCTTCTTCTTCCCTAATCTTGGCTTCTAAATCATTGATGATTTCTTGCTTGGCTTTAGTTCCTTCCTCTCGCTCTTTAACTTTTTCTTCTAAAGCATTAATAGTTTTTTGTTTGATTTTGGTTTCTTCTTCTCGTTCTTTAATCTTTTCTTCTAAAACATTAATAGTTTCTTGTTTTGCGTTGATTTCTTCTTCACGTCTTCTAATCGTATCTTCCAAATCATAAATCTTTTCATACTTTGCTTTTGTTTCTTTTTCTTGTTCTTTAATCTTTGTTTCTAAGCCAATAATAGTTTCTAGCGTAGTTAGGGCTACTTCATCTCGCTCTCTAATCTTTTCTTCTATAACATTGATAGTTTCTTGCTTGACGTTTGTTTCTTCTTCACGTTTTCTAATAGTTTCTTCTAAATCATGAATCATTTCATGCTTGTCTTGAGCTATTTCTTCTTGTTCTTTGATCTTTACTTCTAGGCCAACAATCGTTTCTTGCGTAGTTTTAGCTGCTTCTTCTCGCTCTCTAATCTTTTCTTCTAAAATATTAATAATTTCTTGTTTGGCTCTCGTTTCTTTTTCTCGTTCTCTAATCGTTTCCTCTAAAACATTAATAATTTCTTGCTTAGCTTTAACATCATCTTCTCGCGCTTTATTCTTTTCTTCTAAATTTTTGAGTTGAGTTTTTAACTTTGATAATTCTTCCCTTTTTGTTACCAAATCAAAATTTAAGTTTTGAATGTCTCGCCTTATCTCAGTTAGTTTCTGCCCTGCTAATAATTCTCTTAAATTATCTAAACTATCGCTACCTATTTCATTCCATAAAAAGGAGAGTATCAATTGATTATCTTCGTCGGCTATCTTTTTACTTTGCTCTAAATTCTTAATTATTTGTTCTTTTGCTTGTAATTCTTGAGTGAGTCTAGTTTCCAAGTTTTTCAAGTCTTTTACTGGATTATCTATTAAAGCCATTTTGATTCCTTCCTTAATTAGAAATTTTGTTTATTTTTATTATGGTTAAATGTTACTTTTGAATTGAAAAGGGAGGGTAAGTATTTTTTTTTACTGAAAAAAAGTCCATTTAAAAGTAAATTTATTTCAGCCCTCGGCTATCTTACCACATTTAGAAAGATCGTTTCGAATTACATTTTTTTGAATTAATGAATTACCACAAATAATTTAGTCTTAAATATAGCAGGTTTTAACCTGTTATTTCTATGGCACGCCGAAGTGATATAAATTTTTGGAAGTTTATTGCGTCACGTTAAACATATTATCAAATATGAAGTGCTAAAAATAGACCATATTTACAAAACCGTTCATTAAAAAAAAAAATTTTACATTATTAGATTGATTCAACTTTTATGAATAAATTGTTATTGTTAAATCAGCATATCGGGATTTATAATGGATTTGACTAAACTCAATTTTCTAAATTCTAATTATAGTAATAAAATTTTCACAAATCCATTTCCTGATTATGCAATTTTATTTCTAAAGAACTCCTTCAAAAAAGTCGACAAATAATCCTGCTTTTTTTCTACTTTGAGATACTCTACTTTCAATTTTCAATTTCAAATTGCAAGTCATATAAAATTTTAATAATTTCATTTTTAATTCCAAAGGACATTTTTCTAATAACTGAAAATTTTTTAATTTCTCATGAACTATCGAACTTCCAAAATAGGAAATCAATTACCATATTTAAACAAATTTTTTTTTTTTGTTTTCATAACGTTATATTTTATAGTTACATTTATTTTATTTGGGATAAACATAAAAATAAAATTAAATTTAATATTAATTTCGTTCTTTTCTTTTTTAAGAAAAGATTATCGTAAACAAAAAAAAATAAGCCAAACCAAAAATGATTTACTACGCAACCAATCACGAAGAAATGAAAAAGAAATGACCTAATATACAAATGTGAGAAATGTGAGAAAAAATACAAAAAAAAGTAGATCGAAACCTTTTATACATGTTGAACTACTATAATAGTTCTATTATTTTCTATATTATTTCCTGTATTTCCTGTATCTGTTATATTTTCTTGTCCATGATTTCCCTCAGTATTCTCAGTATGACAACCAAAAAAGGCACTGATTTTTTTTCTTAATGCTACCAAGGCTACAGTAACAGTCACACCAAACCCTCCAATACCAGCACCTTTTTTCCAACCTTCCGAAGAATTTGATCCTTTCGGAGGTTTTGTGACTTCCGGAGATTCGGGAGGATAGGGGACTTTTGGGTGGTAGTGTTCGTTTTTATTGTTTTTATTACCCGATGATTTAGGTTCAGAAGGATTTTGGGATTTGTTTTTTTTTTTATCGTCCGGTGAATTATTTTCAAAAGAAAAAGAATTCTCAATACTTTCAAGAGAGGCAGTAACACAACCCATATCTTTAACTCCATTTTTTACGGATAACTCTACATGAGTGTCATTCGACTTGAGATCTGTCCGCATATGTTATAATTATAATCATTAAAATTTTGTCCATGGAAAAAAAATGCGAGTAATACAAAGTACCTGAAGCTTCTACTTCAAATTGAGTTTTGAATGTAAACGTATCGAATTTAGACGTATTTTCAATTTCACAGTAGTCTGAATTAAAATGTCCATTATTTGCTATACAAGAATTGACGAAAATGTTATCAAACTTCTTAAAAAGCCTGAAATCGAATTGTAAAGTATTGGTATAATCTATAAAAAAAATTTTTCCTTGAACAACGAAAGTGATGGTATCTGGAGACTCCGAGTAATAAACGTCAAAGCTAGAAAATTTAATTTTAACTCCAATCAGAATCCCACATTCCTTTAAGTTTGAAGTTTGAATTTTTACTCCCAACGGTTTCGGAAGTGATAAGACTTCCGTTACGAAAAACGACACTAGAATTATTGTATAAAATATTTTTACAATCTTGTACATGTTTGCATTAAAATTTTCGTAAATTTACACCTAGAATTATAATGGTCAAGGAAAGAATTAAGTTTTTTTTTCCTTTAGCAAGACAATTTGTTTATGTATTAGAATCAACAAACTTGTTTGAACAGGTTATCGTTACACAAACAAATATAGTTTTTTTTAGATTTATAAATAATTTATTATTTTTTTTTTTTTAGAAAATCGGCTAAATTATGTAAGTGAACACAAGACAAAAATATTTCATCGAGAAAGGCAATAATGACGAACCTTTTCCATTTATGAGATTATTTTATTAATATACGTATAATTAGAAAGATCACTCTAGAATTGTAAATTTACAAAAAAAAAGAAAAAAAAATAAGGGAGCATTTTTGTGATTTATCTTCGTGTCTCGTAAAATGGCAATTCCAAAATGCTAAAACAAGGTGGAGTGTGTGATAAATAACAAATAACAATACTCTATTTTAAGTAATTTAGGTGATCGTCACGTCCTCTTTTTATTTATTTATTTTTTTTTTTACGACACGTTAATTATTAATGATATGGGTTTATTCGTAATATCAATACAATTATATCAAATTATGTTAACTTCGCACAAACTAAATAAAAGTAGCAAACGAGAAAAACGTTCAAACGTGTAACATATAAGACTGGAGTAATTCACCAGAAATGACCTAGAATTAGCGTTGCGTGCACGTGACTAAATGCGTAGTTCTCAACATCTTTTTTTGGTGGTGCATTGGCAAATATTTTTTTAAAAAGTTACACATTGGAATTAAACCATAAATTGCATTTACATTTGAGTCAAGCAACTTTGGATTAATTTAAACTAACATAGTAAGTAAGAATTAATTTAAAATCAGTCCGAATATTTAAGAAATACGACTGCTGAAAGGTTTCAAAGTCATATTTAAGCATAAATTTGCGAAACATTGAAAATTCTTTTTTTAGGAATCATAAAATTCTATTTTAATTTTCAAAGTTGCATCAATAAGCAAGTATATGATACGATAGGAGTTGGTGAAACAAGTTCCGGAAGAGTTCGGCATAAAGACGCTGTCAAAGAGATTAGAAATTATTTTTCAAAATGTGAGATGCCACTTAATTATATAGCTTTCGTAAAAAAGAAAGGTAGATTTACAGAAGAAGATCGTAAAATGTACAAAATATTTAGAGAGATCTTTGAAGGGGGAGAGAAAAATTTCATCATCATCATAACTAATAGTGGTCAGAAGTGGGTAGAGAAATACTCAAATACAATAAAGGAGAATCTTGGAGATCATCCAATCATTCCGGTTGATTTTCCTTGGAGTGAAGATGATGATGATGACGACGATTTTGCTGCCATTAAACGATATAAAAGAACAAAAAGTCTACTACATTTAATTGATAAACTTTTAATTTTAGATCACAAGGGTATTAAACTAGAGGTTCTTGACTCGATCCAGGCGATTCCAGTGGTTGGCCAACTTATTTCTTCTGCTTTGTATAAAAAATCTGATGGAGTCTCTAATGAGAAATTTTATGATAATGACCTTAAATCAAAGTAGAGGAATTTTCCGCTTATAATTAATGAATTTATTAATAAATTAAGTTCTTATATCTTAGTTTTTTGACTTTATATTTTTGTATGTTCGAATTGTTAAATTTACATTAAAAATATTATAAGTCTTGACGTTGATCGATTTTGGTAGGCAAATTCGTTTTTTAAAAAACCAATTTCGCTATAAAAAATAACTAACCCAAACTTTTAAATGAAGATTACAACAGTCGGATATAGTTCAACAATTACAGAATTCATTGTTCGGCTTTTTAAACTTTAAATGAACTGTTGATAATCTATTCAATAAAAACTTTTGCTATAAAAACGTAAAAAAAAAATAATAATAATAAATTTTTAGTCACACGGAATCCATAAAACATATTACACGTCACTTTATAGTTTAGTTTAGAAAAAAGAACTTGCAAAGTTATTATTGGAAGGAATATTGAAGTTTACGATTTCAAAATTTGAATGACTTTGCAATAATTGATATATATAAAATCAAGAAATGGAAACTTTATGACCCGTTCATGGCGAAAACATCGAGGTATCGTATCATTTATTCTTAAGGTTGTCGGTAAAATTTACGATATTAATGAGTTTTTATTTAAAATTTTTTTCATGAATTTTTTATTTATCGTGATTTTGTTTTTCATACCATGAAAATCACATCACAAAGCTAAAACCTAAGTAGAATTATGATTAAAATGGCTATAAACAATTTTAATTACTGTAAATCAAGTAAAACGTGTCGTTTACAGATAAAAGATCCAAATACAAGGTCAAACAGTATCATAATGCTTGAACGTTACTGAGCGATATTTTTATCGAAAACATTTGTTAGATTTCGTCATTTTATTTATCGAGCAGAGTAAACGAAATGGTATAGTCTTTTTTTGGGCAGGGTCCTCTATTGCTAATATGGGTGTGAGTTTTACGATACTATTTAATTCAATAATAATGAATTTATAGTATAGGGTTGGAACAGATTTCGAAAGTATTCAGCATAAGAAGGTTGCCAAAGAAATAATAAGTTTCTTTCCGAGGTGTTAAAATTAAGGTAGATTTACTACTAAAAAGATCGTAAAATATTCAAGTTGTTGTTTAAAATGATCTTTGAAAGACTAAGAAAATTTTCATTATAATTGTCACAAATAGTTGTCAGAAATGGTCGAAGGAACTTGGAAACATTAAGGAAAATTTTAGAATAGGATATCTGATTATGCCGGTTGAAGATGAAATAAAAGAGCACAACGTATTCAATTTTGCAAGATGGACTTTTGATTTTAAATTACGAGGGTATTCAACTTAGGTTCTTAGCTCGATACATACGATTGAGTCAAAGTAGAAAAAGCATTAGTCACCAGTAGTTAATTCGACATACAAATTTTTGGTTTATGCAAGTCAAATCAACTGCAATGATGAAAAAAATCTCGGTTGACAAATTTCTTAATCGAAATAGCGATTAAAGAAAATAATAAATGAAACAATCTAACCAAAAAGGGATTAAAAAAAAGGAAAATAACAACGCCTACCTATTATTTAACAACATGTAATCAACGCCCCAGGAAACGATCGATAAAATATACTATTGTTATTCATCTTTGGTTAATATATTTTTACTAAAAAATTCTAAACCTTAAATCGTAAAATATTTAATTGCGATTTCTAATCTCAATGAGCTTGAGTAAAATTTATTACATATTGAATAAGGGAAATGTATAATTAAGAAAAATAATAGAGTTACAGACTAACCTATTAGGGAAATTTTTTTACATACATATTTGTAAAAATATTTTAAATTTAACGAATATTCTAAATGGATAACTTTTCACAACACTAAAAACTTGAATTACCAATTTTGTACTCGCTCTGTAAGTTTAGTCTTTTTATTTTTCATGTGTTCAGTGAGATTAACTATATCTGTCAAACAAAATGTATATACTTGGTCAACAATAACAAATTATACTGTATAATATTAAAATTGACGTTAGCTCTACAACAAATCTGTTCAAAACTTTCAGGCATCTTAATCAGTCAATTTAGAACATATTTCTATCATCTTGAAAATTCGTTTCTTTCAGAATTTATCAACCGAAATGAGCGAACAAATTAGTATGGTTCTTTTTGGACTTACCGGGCAAGGAAAATCCTCAATTGCTAACATGATGGTACAAGGAGACATTCGTCATAAAGACAATAAATTCGTAGTTAATGATGATGCTGTTGGTGCAAGTGCTACGATACAATGTAATTCGAATGATAAATTTATAGTGCACGACACAATTGGAGTAGGTGAAACAAAATCCGGTAGCGTTCCTCATAAGGAGGCTGTTAAAAGGATAAGAAATTATTTTTCATTATATAAGAAGCCACTTAATTATATAGCTTTCGTTAAAAAGAAAGGTAGATTTACTGAAGAAGATCGTAAAATGTACAAAATATTTAGAGAGGTCTTTGAAGGGGGAGAGAAAAATTTCATTATCATCATCACTAATAGTGGTCAGAAGTGGGTAGAGAAATACTCAAATACAATAAAGGAGAATCTTGGAGATCATCCAATCATTCCGGTTGATTTTCCTTGGAGTGAAGATGATGATTTTTACGAAAGTGTTATTAAGCGAAAGAAAAGAATACAAAGTCTGCTACATTTAATTGATGAGCTTTTTAGATTAGAATATGAGGGTATAGAACTAGAGGTTCTTGACTCGCTCCAAGTAATTCCAGTGGTTGGTCGACTTATTTCTAAAATTTTTTATAACAAATAGAGGATTCACTGATGGAGTGGAAATTTTATGATATTAAAACTTAAAAGATGAAGTAGCGAATTTCTAAAAAAAATGATGGTCGGACTGGTTTCTCCATTTTTTTTATTCTTAATCTGTTATTTCTACTTAAATAAATTTTGTTCTGCGTTTCATATGTAATGTTATGAATTGTCACAGCAGTTTTTATTTCCTAGTTATGTGACTTTTTGTATGTTCGATTTGTTAAATTTGCATTGAAAATTAGCAGCACAGGTAAAGATACTTGAATTCCAAAATCACAAGCCGGTAATTGTCGTGCTATCCACCCGATAAATGAAACCGCCATCTTTTAGTTAGTTCTTTTCATTAAAATATCTTTTTTTTTCCTTTTGTGATAAGTTTATAGCTTCATTAACAAAAAAAAATAATCATTAATCAAAAAGAGACTTCATATATAATGCAGAGCAGATCAGATGATGATCAACACGACACGAATTTTTTGTCTCTGTTTGTAAATTTACCAAAAACTAGACAAAAAAAAATTTTAATATTTAGGGAATCACAGTAATATTGTCAAAGGATATATAATGATTTCTTAATTATGATTTTCGATTTTGTTCACGCAAAGTGCGTTCTTTTTTAATTTTTCTTTTTACAAAAATACAAAAATTTGAAGATAAAAAAAGTTACCATCTAAAAAATATGATGGCTAAATTTGGGTGGTACAACAATTGCCAAAAAAAGAGCCTCCAACCTAATATCGTAAAATCGAACAGAACAGAATGTAACTTACTATATCAGTCGAATAACAAGTACATATTTGTCAACAAAAACAGAATATAGTATTTATATGTGTTCTCACTCTAGACTGGGAATTTATTCCGCCATTTGAGAAAGTAAAAAATTTCTTCGTTTCTACTGTTTAGGCTTAATAATCAGTCAATTTGACAGATTTTCTATCATACCGAAATCCTTTGTTGATATTCGTCTTGATCTATAGATCGAAATGATTGAACAAATTAGTCTGGTATTTTTTGGACTCACTGGGCAAGGAAAGTCGTCCATTGCTAACATGATGATTCAAGGTGACATATATCAAAAAGGCAATGTATTCGAAATCAATGATGGTGCTGTTGGTGCGAGTGTTTCGATAAATTTTAGTGAAAATGAATATTTTAAGGTTTTCGATACTATTGGAGTAGGTGAAACAAATTCCGGTAGTGTTCCGCATAAGGAGGCTGTCAAAGAGATAAGAAATTATTTTACTACTTGTAAAGTGCCACTAAACTATATCGTTTACGTTAAAAAGAAAGGTAGATTTACTGAAGAAGATCGTACAATGTTCAATCTATTTAAAGAGATCTTTGAAGGATGTGAGAAAAATTTCATCATAATCATCACTAATTGTGATGAGAGATGGATTGAAAAGAACAAGGAAACATTAATAAAGAATTTTGGAGAAGATTATCCGACTATTCCGGTCGATTTTCCTTGGGACGAAGACGAAGACGACGACGATGATTCTGATTATGCTGATATTCAACAATATAAAAGAATACAAAGTCTATTATGTTTAATTGAAAAGCTTACTAAATTAAATTACGAGATAACGGTACTTCAGGTTCTTAGCTCGTTCCAATCGGCCGAGAATAAAGTATCCAAAGTCATTGACTTAATACCAATAGCTGGATCGGCATACCACCTGATTTCTTCTGGTGTTTATTATAAGCTGGGTAAGTCGAATGTTGCAAAGGAAAGACTTATAAATGGAGTTACCGGGGCTGTTATGGATGTTTCTTGTGTTGGTGCTTTTCGAGCTGGTTTAGTTGCGGGAAAGTTAACGGGTAAAGCTGCGTTTAAAGCAATGGCTAAAGGTGCTGCGAAAAGTACTGTACAGGGTGTGGCTAAGGAAGGAGTACGATATATATGGAAAAAATTAATTTGATTGATTTTTTCTTTTCACAATTTTTATGTTAAATTGTTATTATACAATAAAAAATTATAGGTTATATATAATGCACTAATAATATGGTAAATTTTGAATTCGCTTATTCGCTTACTATTGTTTTTCAGTTACAAAATATTTTTCCGAATTGCAAATTGTAGGTTGGGATTCTTATATATTAGAGCAAATCAAGTTATGATAACGTTTTGATTAAAATTATGACCATAAAGAATCTCAAAAACTGTCCGTGATTTCCATAGGAACCGTGAATATTAAATTGGTTTAAGTTTTGTAAAACGAAATCCCACACAGTTTTTGTGCCAAAAACACTACCATTTATGGATGTGCAGGATGCCAAAACGTGAAATAACCCTAGTACCTTTACGTTCAAATTTTTCATACAAAATCTGTGCCAAAATTAAATTTTATCATATCTGTAAGTTTATTTGAACGCCAAGAAAGGTAATTTTTTAGAGATCCATACGTTCAAAAAAATACCATACTATCAAAATTTGTATGTTTTCTGTTATATTTATTTTTTCTACAATTCTTTACAATTTCTTTATATTTCAAATTACAAATTTTTTTTTCTGTACGATTTTTCTTTAAATTAATTACCAATGCAATTGTTCCATCGTGTTCTATTATCATAAAGAACAATACCTCTTTGATACCAGAATAGTATCTGCTGTAGTTCGGGAGTTCGGGTATTGTGTCCCAATTTTGCTTAATTTTAAGTGTTATTAGTATTTAGATTTATTGTAGATCGTAGGCCAATGGGCGAAATTGTCCTGGCCAGTATGCCATCCGGCCATTATGTTTCGTGGACAAAAAGGCTCCTGGACAATTAATCCTTACTGGGTTTTAAGTAAAAAAGATGTGGGATTTCGCTCGAATAGAATAGCATGTTCCCTAGATAATACAATAAGATAACATTAGCACAGCGGTATAGCATATGGGGCCTTTGCAATAGAAAGGGAGGAAACTGCCGGAAAATTAAAAAAAGAGATGATTCTAAATTTGAACATATTTCAGCCTAAAAATCATATTTGACATATAAGTAAAATTGATTTTTTCCGGCAGTTTCCCTTGCAAAGACCCCATATATTCCCCTTCCCCTTTTATTAATTACTTATCTGATTGTATAGAGCGCCGACGATTGAGGAAATACCTTATTTACGTAGTTTTATGTAAAATTTCATTGTTGTTAATAAATGCATTTAAATAATAAACCTTCTGCTTACCCTTTTTTTTATTTATAACTAATAAACGTCTCGAACTGCATGCAACAATATGACCATTTTGTATAAAAATTGAAATAGCTACTAAAACTGTATAATTTTAAAATTCACATATTGCACAATAAATAATATTTAAAGTCCTGTTTTCTAAAATTATTTTCTTCCAAATTCATTTTTGAGTAACTCAGTTGCATTTTTTTACCAGAGATAGAAAAAAGTAGTGAACCTCTTTTCATTTAACACACCGTTTAGAACTCGCTAATTTATAGCGCTACTGACCGAATGATCCCGAAAATGTTCGATGGTTCTTGGAATAATTTATATATCGAATTGAGTAAAAAAACTGGTGTAATCTTTTTTGGACATTGGGCAGGGAAAACCTCTATTTCTAACATGCTTATTCAAGGTGATATTTATCATGATGGCAGTGCGTTCGACAAAAATGTTGGTTCTGTCGCGATATAATTTAGTTTTAATGAATGATTTATAATATACGATGTTCCGAAAGTGTTCCGTATAAGGAAACAATCAAAATGATAAGTAATTATTTTACAAAACGTTATGTGTGCCAATCAACTATATAGCTTTCGTTAAATAGAAAGGTAGATTAACAAACACCTTTGATTAGAGTGAGAAAATTTTTATTACCATTATCACCAATAGTCGACTGTAATGGGACAGGAAGAACTTTGGTTATTCGATTGTTCCGGTCTAATTTCCTTGTATTGAAGAAGAGGAAGATGAGGATGCTGTCATCCAGCGAAATAAATATTACACGCTTGACTGAAAGACATTCATTTTTAAATTACGAGGGTTGTAAATTTCGGGTCTTCGCTCAATCTGGACAAAGTAGCAAAATTCATTCCAAAGGTACTAATCAATAGTTATCTCTTAATTTTCTTCTGATAATTCGATGGGAGAGCCAAAATTGATAAATTACCGACCATCTAATAAAGTTTGCTTTGCGGGGCTCTTATGGGTATTATTGCAATTCATTCTTTATTCTTTAGAATTGGAAAGGTGACGGGTAAAGCGATTAAAGCTAAAGTTGCGACAAACGAGTGTTGCATAACATCCGGTTAAGAAAGTTACACGAAATGAAATTAAGAAATTCACATCTATATATCTTTTATGTGCTAATTAAAATTTTACTTTTAATATAAATACAAACTAATTGTTTCATATCTAGACCAAATCAAGAAAAAGAATAATATATCAAATGCTTTTCTTTTTAGTATTTATTCGATTATCTGATTGGCTAGAAATTTATACAGAATTGAGAATTCGCAAAATATGGTGATGTCTGCAAATAATTTTCTGTATTTAAATTGTAAGAATTTCTTATATCTCATAACATTTATAATTAATTTTGAATTTCGTCCGTTACTTTAAAAACAAAAAAAATAATCAATGAATGTCTTGTCGTAACTAAATGAAATTAGGTAAGTAAGGTATATACTCCCCATCTCCGAAATAAACCAAAGTGTAAGAATTCTTCTACAGAAATCAAATATTGTAAGTACAAAGTTATCAAAGAATTAGTTTAGGTTTTCTATCATGAATCTCATATGCTATGATATTATTTCTATTGACCTGATGATACAAATCTGGAATCCTTCAAGTATATCATCAGAGAATTCTCGACATTTAAGAAAAGATTTCTTTCTATAGTTTTTATATAAAAATTATTTAACGAAAACTTTAAACAAACTTAGCACGACCATTTATTAATAACATTCTTTCTTCTCTGCAAATTTACTGAATCAAAAGAATTTTTGATTTAGCCTACGTTAAAAAGAAAAGAGATGTACCTAAGAATGTTGTGATTAGTTAAAGAGGCTTTGGGGACGAGAAAAATTAATTGCATTACATTTAGCACTAAAACTAATCAAAAATGGGTCGAAACAAACTCAAAATGATTAAAGATGAATTTTAAAGATTATTATTCTCTTTGAAACGAAGTAGATCTGCAATATTTGAATGGGATGAAAATTGAGGTACTGATCCTATGATTTACTATGTCTCGTACCTCAATTTTAATAGCATACCACTCGTATTTTTATTTCTAAATACGAGAGTATCAAAACTGTAATAACCTTCGGGATATTGGAATACCAACATACATATTACTTCTGACATTTACGATAAGATGAGCAAGTCAAATTTAGCAGAGTTTATAGTTTGGTGCAAGCCTTTGCAAAAGAATCGGATAAGATTCTGTTAAGAGATTAGTTAAAAGTGTGGCGAAAAGTACTGCACAAAATGAATTAACAAAGTTATAAAGTAATTTATATAATATTTGATGCAAATAGTTATTTCAAAAGCACAGTTACCATATAGCACACTGCATTGAGTACCCTGGGAGGTTACTATCTGAGGGGGGTATTTGAATTCTTTAATAAATTGTTAACAATGATAAAATAGGCTTCGAAAGTGATGAATTAAATTTAACCAATTCGTCTTATTTTTCTAATAGAACGAGATTACGGCGAAGTAATGCATTTGTTTAAAGTGATTACGTAATATTCATAAATGAAGTTGTTATCTCGTTAAAGTTAAATAAAACAAAGTCCACATTTTAAACCACATTCAACCCTAAGTAAAGTTATTCGTTTGGTTATGCAATTTATAATACAAAATTTTCAAAACTATACGGGATTGATACTGTTATGGCAAATTTTAATTTTCACCTTCTAGTGAAAGAATCAGTAATGTGTGAAAATTTCTTTGTTCTTCAAGATATCTTGCTTCGGAAATCTAAGAAAAGCTTTTGTTAAATTTCAAATTTTACAAGCTAAATCTTCAATGTGATATAATAGTCTCGAAAATGGTATAGTTGTAAGAAATAATGTTTCAAAGTTTAAATCCATTCAGATATATATGACTGTAACGTGATTTTAATAGCATATCCTACTCGTTGCCTAATTTTAAAATGTATATTATAATAATATAATACTTCGAATTTTAAATTCTAAGTTTCGTTTATTATGCGAAGATAATCAAAAATATATTGAAAAGTAAATTACTTTGTCTTATATTATTTTATGGAATAGCAGTTGGTCTTATTGAAGCCGGACATTTAATCATAGCTTGTGATAAACCATCATGAAATTGTGGAACGAGCTAAGGACTTGAAGTTTAATACTCTCGTATTTTAAAAACGAAAGTCTATCAGTTAAAAGTTGAAGACTATTGACTCTTATTTTTCGTTGAATGATGTCATCACCATCTTCACTACAAGGAAAATCGACCGGAATAATCGGATAATTTTCAAAATGCTTTCTTAATATTGTCATGTTATTATTAACCCAATCCTGATCACTTTCCGTAATAATAATAAGGAAATT